AGTTTCTATATGTTGGATATTACTCTGTGCTGTCTGGATAACAGGCGCCTCTTGTCTGGATAGTACTTTGTATTAGTTGGATAACAGGCGCCTCGTGTTTTTTCAGCGACCAAAACGAAGAAGGAAGAGGGGCAGATTGGCGAAATTGGTTCCCGTGACCAAAGGGGAAATGGAAAAGGAGGAATACGTGAAAGGCAAGAATATGTTCAGCCGCGTGTACTCTCGGAGAATACGTGAGAAGACTCAGGTGGAGCCTGAGGTGGTTATGGAGCCAGATACAGTGGTCGAGCCTGAGGTGGAGTCAGAGGCAGTTAAGTCTACTACTGATGTGGAGGTTGAGTCAGAGGCAGTTGTCGAGGTTGATGTTGAGGCCTCTGTTGTTAAGCCGAGTGATGAGGTGGAGGTGGAGTCTGTTGTCGATACTGAGGTGGAGCCAGAGTCAATTGTCGAGCTTGAGGTGGAGGTGCATGTTGTTAAGTCGAGTACTGAGGTGGAGGTGCCTGTTGTTGATCCGGAGGTTCAACATACGGAGTCCATTTTTGGTCAAGTGAATGTAATGCAGATTGCTCTCCAGACCGCTGCTGCTGCTGAAGAGAGTATAGAGACACCCCCGTCTACGGTAAATTCGGGAGGATACGAGTAGTGTCTGTTCTTCCTGGATATTTCTTTCTTTTTCATTGGATATTAGTATGTTCTTCCAGGATATTTGTTTTGTTTTCCTTGGATATTAGTCTATTACTCCTGGATTTTTTTTTTTGCACTTTGGATTCTAGCTTAGGCTTCCTGGATATATGTTTCTTTTTCTGTGGATAGTAGACTGGGAAGCCAGGATATTTGTTTTGTTTTCCTTGGGTATTAGTCTATTACTCCTGGATATTTTTTTTTTGCACTTTGGATTCTAGCTTAGGCTTCCTGGATATATGTTTCTTTTCCTGTGGATAGTAGACTGGGAAGCCAGGATATTTGTTTTGATTTCTTTGGATATTAGTATGTTCTTCTTGGAGGTTTTTTTTCTTATTCAGTGGATACTATACTAGCCTGGGAAGATGGTCATACCTTTGGCATTGTTTTGCAGATACCTTCCGAGGATACTGCTACTGTGTTCGATCCTTCTACTGAGGTTCTGACGCAAGGAGAAGCAGCACCATCAGAGGGGGAGCTAATAGTAGTAGCATGCCAGAGGATGCTGGAGGATAGCGACGATGATATTCTCGTAAGTGAGAGGCCTATGACTCAGGAGGAGGCAGAGTTTATGCACTCTATCACTCAAGAAGCATGGAAGGCAACTATTAAAACTCCTGCATTCGAGAGGCCAAAACACCACCCAATCGACACATCACTGTACGTTTTGGCAAAGTCTTTTTCGATGAAACTCGACGAAACGACACGACAAGTGGTTGAGTTCATCTTTAGTACCACATCTGAAAATGAGTAAGTTGTCATGTTTCCTTCTTTAATCGCCAATTTCAATCTGTCAAATTCATGGCTACTAACCTGGTTTTTCATTTGTGTTTTACAGTCACAACTTTATCGTGGAAACTCCAAAGGGCAAGCTTAGCGGTTGCCAAATATTGTCATTGAAGCGTACAAGTTGGGTTCATAGCCAAGTCCTATACGTATACGGGCAATTCCTAAATCACCAAGAAGAACTTAAGGAGATGGTGAAGAGAATTGTCTTCCCATGGAGCTATGTGGTAAGTATTATCTTCACTACTTAGATCCTATTTATGTTGAAAATGTCTAATTTGATATTGTTGTCTCTTCTAAATAGCAACATGCCGTCGATGATGCTAAAAAAAACAATCAATGGAAAGGCGAGAATCTCGGGGTATATTTCTTTGCATAAGATAATCCATTTCTGAAACGAGAAAACTTGGAAAAATGTGATTATGTAAGTGTCTTCAACTCCTGAATATTTTTCTGACTTTCCTTGATATTGGTCTGGGTTTATAGGATATTTTATTTTCCTTTGTCGGATATTATTCTGGGTTGTTGAGATATTAATCTGGGTTGTTAGGATATTAGACACTGATTAACTCACTAACTGTATTGTGTTTCAGATCTTCTTTCCAATGTTTCGAGATGATCACTACCGAGTGTATGTCGCTGACATGAAGAATAGGAAGACTTTCCTACTGGACAGCCAAAAGCCCAATGCCACTCGGGCTAAGAGGGATCATGGGCCAATGGGGAAAGTTATTTTTGAGTATGTGACAGAGTTCTTCAAAGAGCAGGGGGTCGACTGTAAATTGGATGAGTGGGAATTCAGCATTGCTGACGTTCCTCAGCAATTTGGAAACGATGATTGCGGTGTATTCGCTTGCCTTTACATGGAGCTATGGGCGGGTCACCTTCCGGTGGAATGTAAAAACAGTTGGCACAAGCAGGAACATGTGGAGGAACAACGAACACGGATTGCAGCTAACCTCCTGTTATGGAACTATAACGGCCACAAAGATGCAATAATTCAAAAAGCAAAAGATTGGAGTATGCAGAAAGAGAAAGGGAAAAAGAAGACAAAGTAGGAGAGGATGATGGTTTGCATTAGGATGGGGGATATTTTGGTAGATATTGACATGTGAATCCAGGATACGTTTTTGTGCTGCAGTAGATATGAATCCACTTGTTATGGATACTTGTCTGGGCAAACTTGATACGTACTGTAAATGTACAGATATTAAATCACATGTGACCTCTATTGCTACTACTGTACTCATGTGACCTTTTTTGTATTTGTCTATTTAAGACAAATCATACACAATCCCAAATCAGATATTTATCCTGCTGCAAAACATCATACCTCCCTAAATTTTATCCAACCCTAGCAAGCATCCATACCTAAATATTATCCAAGCCTAAGTTCCTGCACATGTGGCTAGTGAAAGAAGTAATCATTGGTGCTATTGAACCCCTGCTTTTGATAATACTGATAACCAGGAAGTATTTACTAATATCCATGCACACTGATAATAAATATCCAGATAGCCCAGACAGGTATCTGTTACAAGTGGATTAATATCCACTTCATCAAAAAAACGTATCCTGGAATCACATGTCAATATCAGAGCACAATAGATCACACTCGACCCCCCCAACATTATATTCATTACCATTGAGCAATAGTATCATCCAAATCACTAAGATGGTCATCCGGTTGAGTATTGTTGTCCGGCGTGACCGCCTCATTTGATTTCATTCTCTTCCTATAGGAACGTTTCTTTCGATGGCGTTCCTTTTCATTCTTAGACTGCTAACGTTCCTTACCGTTGCTCCTTGGATTACTCTTCTCCTTCAAAGTCAGCCCAGTCATCGGTATAGACCGTCCTACAATGGTACAAAATTTAGTAAATGCAATGATATTAAACTCCAACAATTTACAAATAATATTAGTGAATACACTTACTGTCCTCGCTAGTTATAGTCTTTGACAATGCCTTGTTTGCCTCATTGCATAGTTTCTTGAGTATTCCCATCCACTTATCGTAGTCTTTCTCCTCGGCCATCGACAGTTTTGTTGCTAGCTGATTCAACATTGTAGTGGTTTCTCGGTACCGCATTGCTATACCTTTTCCCGCATCATTCTCACTGTCAGCTGAAGGACCAACACAACCATCAACATCAACAACCACTTTCTTTCTCGCCTCCAACGTCCATCGCTCGAGTATGTAATGATCTGGAATACTTCTCATACTGGCTTCCCCAAAATCTCCAAGATGCCGCATCACTTTAATCATGTGGCAGCATAACACTCCGAAAGTTCTGAACATCCTGCATTCGCATACCAATGTCCTCGTAGAAATATCAACGAGAACGACACGCTCATCACTACGCTCACCATCCTCGTAGCCAATCATGCCATCCGGAAGAAAAAGATGAGCTTCGCAAGCTCCACATGATTAAAGTGATGTTCAGAACTTTCGGAGTGTTATGCCGCCACATGATTAAAGTGATGCGGCATCTTGGAGATTTTGGGGAAGCCAGTATGAGAAGTATTCCAGATCATTACATACTCGAGCGATGGACGTTGGAGGCGAGAAAGAAAGTGGTTGTTGATGTTGATGGTTGTGTTGGTCCTTCAGCTGACAGTGAGAATGATGCGGGAAAAGGTATAGCAATGCGGTACCGAGAAACCACTACAATGTTGAATCAGCTAGCAACGAAACTGTCGATGGCCGAGGAGAAAGACTACGATAAGTGGATGGGAGTACTCAAGAAACTGTGCAATGATGCAAACAAGGCATTGTCAAAGACTATAACTAGCGAGGACAGTAAGTGTATTCACTAATATAAGACTAAGACAGTTACCTTAGTCTAAATCCCGCCAATTCGTCTGCAAAGTCGCCGCCGTCAACACAAGTTTCGCCGCCGTGAAAGCCCCGCCTTCGTCGCCGCCGAAATCCTGCTTCGGTCGCCGCCGCAGGAACTCGCCGCCGCTTCGCTCGCCATGCAGGAACTCGCCGCCGCAGGAACTCGCTCGCCGCCGCTTCGCTCGCCGCCGCACCGCTGGTCCCTCGGCGCCGCTTATCTTGCTTCTTCGTCGGTTTCGTGAGAGGAGGAAAGTGAGAGAGAGGGGAAGTCGAAGTGGGGGAGAGCAACAGAGAGGAGAAGTCGAAGTGGGGGAGAGAGGGGAACTGAATTGGGGGAGAGAGGGGAACAGTTTTTTGTTTTAGAATTGTGGGCCCGGTGGGCTTGGTCAGCCGTGGGCTCGACCAGCCGACCCAAACCGGCTCACCTTCCTCTACCCAAACCAGGCACCATCTTACCCTTGCCCACGTGAACAAAAGATCCACCGTGTGAGTATCTACTCACACTTTATGCTGTGAGCAGCATAACTAAATTGAATTATCGGCTCGCCCAAAAAGTGGACTTTTTCTCTCTCCTCTCGGCTCATGGGTCAGTGAGTATCTACTCACAAAAGACCCTGTGAGCAGTTTAACTTTTCCGAACAAGTTCGAATCCATATTCTGCAATGACTCTACCCAAAAAAAACCCACACTTACTTCTTCAGATGCTCTGCTCCTGTGATCCGTCCTCACTGATGCTAGAGTCATCACCATCATCTGCGTCGATCTCATCACCACCATCGTCTATATCGGATTGCCTGTCATTGTCATCGCCAACGTCGTCGTCATCGTCATCATCGTCGTCTGTCCCGTCATTAACATCATCTGTGCTATCATCCATCCAGGCAAAGTCTTGGTCATCATCGGTCTCGTCGTCACTATCAACGTGGAACTCATCACCATCCGGAAGAAAAAGATGAGCTTCGCAAGCTCCCGAGCCTCTCCATAGTTTTAGCAGTGAACCAAGACGACCATTGCGACGGAGATACTGCAAATGATATTCCCAGTCCATGTAGCTACGACGATGACGACGATCATATTCATCATCACCGTCACATGTAAGGATATTCACCTTCTTCAGTACAGCTCCGACCCTGAGCAAATACGCTACCATTCTCATCTCATGTGCGTCGTCTTTAAGATTTTCGATCTTAATTTCCTCGAGGCACGACAACAAACACTCAGCCGTGGAAGCAGGTTCTTGGGACGCAGTCCACTCGATTACACCGCTCTCTTCCTCCTGTTCCATGCCCATATTTATTATGGATAGTAATACAGAAGGGGAGTTTCATTCAACTTAACTGAGATAAAATGGGACTCACTAAGACAATGAAAAGAGACTGTAATCTGGAGGCCGAGCTGAGCAAGGAGTGCAGAACAGAGCTGTTTCCAGGAGTACCAATCGTCAACTGTGTCAAGTTGGGAAAGATAGGCAGCTGAACTTCGTCATTGACATTTGACAATGACAAAATACTCTGAACACAACAAAGTAAATCATTAGCTCTCGGGCTCATCAAAATCATTCAAATTAGGCCAAATTGAGGACCTCAGGAACAATGCCGATTACCAGAATATTGCACGACAAGCGCATTTCCTTTGCATTGGAGATTTGGGCGAGGAACCTAATCAAGCCGTGCTTCGAGATTTGGCTATGACCAATATCAACCTGTGCTGATTGAAGGCATGGCAACGGATCACTACTACCCAGAAACTGCAACTCGCCGAAATCGGTAAGAAAAAGCTGCTCAAGATTTGGTGCCTCCATTGCAAAGGAGCACAAAGGATTGTCATAGACGCTCTTGCCGATAATGGTCAAGTTCTTCAAGAACGGCAAGGAAGCAATGAGTTGGTCACTCTTATTCCTGTTTGAGGAGTAGCAAGTCTCCACACAAACAGTCTCCAGGACAGGGCAACCATAGATTAGCTTGCTCAGTGAAGCGCAGTCCTTAAGCACTGCTCTCACAAGCTGCAAGATCTTGACACTAGGAAGAAACACAGACCCTTCGGCGGTAATCTCGATTTTAACACCCTGAAGCTTCAAAACTTTTAGATGCTTCAAATTGTAGACGCTCTCTTGAAGCCTGCGTATGCGAAAGGGATCTCCCGTGCAACCATACCCCTCAAGCTCCAAATGCATTTCCTCAAGCCGAGACTCATCCGGAGCCAATCCCATCTTCAACCAGAAATTTGTCTCCGCCTTGCAGTCAATGAGTTGCATTGCAAAATGGAGGCGGAAACGCGTCAGAGAGTTGAGATCCTTGTGCTGGCTCAAAACCCTGTCGATGAAGCGGCAGAATTCCAGGTCTCGCCTCTTTACAATCTCATAACTGACTGTGTCCTGAAAGCCGTCGTCGCCGTTGTCGCGGTTGTCCAGATCGAGCTCGTAGAGCCCAGTCCACAGATTCTTCCACCGTCGGCTTACGGCAGAGGTGCCCACTGTGAATATTGTGATGACTTGATTATTATTGAATGGGAGATTGGTATTTAATACCAATTCCAGAACAGAAACAAGCTACAAACTAGCTAACCACCTGACCACTACGTACATGACAAAAGCCACTAACAATCACTAACAATAATAATTAACAGAAATAATTAATTGGAAATGGTATCCTTAACACGCCCCCGCAAGATGGAGGAGGGGACGACGCCAATCTTGGACCGAAGGAGTTGAAAGCGAGTGATGGGCAGAGGTTTCGTCAAGGAATCGGCAAGTTGATGGACTGTGGGAATGTGGCGGACATGGAGAGCTGCCGATTGAACAAGATCTCGAACAAACAGATAATCAAGGGCCAAGTGCTTCATTCTGGAATGATGAATGGGATTGGCCGAGAAGTTGACGGCGCCAAGGTTGTCACAGTAGAGTACCGGTGGAGTTGAGATGGGTTGGTGGAGTTCGGAAAGCAGATTTTGAATCCACAAGACTTCGGAGGTGGCATGGGCGAGTGCACGATATTCGGCCTCGGTGCTGGAGCGAGCGACCGAGCGTTGTTTCTTTGATTTCCAAGAGACAAGATTACCACCATAGTAGACAAGATAGGCCATGGTTGAGGTGCGATCATCGGGATCCCCAGCCCAGTCAGAATCAGCGAATGCAACAAGAGAGGGAGATGGAGCCGATTGAAGGCAGAGACCAAGAGAGGCAGTGCCACGAAGATAGCGGAGCAGACGCTTGACATGTTGCCAATGAAGCTGCGTAGGTGCGTGCATGAACTGGGATAGTTTATTGACCGCGAAGGCGATGTCAGGGCGAGTGCACAATAGATATTGTAGGGAACCAAGCACCTGTTTGTAGAGAGTCACATCGGCTGGTGGAGACCCATCAACAAGAGTAAGCTTGGCTGAGGAGGATAACGGAGTCGGCGCCGGATGAGAATCAGCCATGTTGAAGCGGTGGAGAATATCCATGACATATTTGTGCTGGGATAATAAGTAGCCATGAGAGTGAGGAAGAACCTCGATACCCAGAAAATAATTAACCTGGCCGAGACTTTTGAGTGAAAACCGAGTAGCCAAGCGTTCTTGAAAGCGGGCGAGGGAAGGGCCATCATTACCGGTGAGGAGAAGGTCGTCAACATAGACCAAAAAATACATAGTGACTGCCGCCTTGTGATAGACAAATAAGGATGCGTCGGACTTGGATTTCACGAACCCTTCCCGCTCAAGAAAACCAGAGAGAGAGAGATACCAAGATCGGGGTGCCTGACGGAGCCCGTAGATGGGTCGAGATAGGCGACAAACATAATCTGGATGATGAGCATCGCGGAAACCCGGTGGTTGGGCCATGTATACTGTTTCATCAAGAGACCCCTGCAAAAAAGCATTATTTACGTCGAATTGGAGAATGGGCCATTTGTGAGATTGGGCGATCGTGAACACTGTGCGGATTGTGACCGGCTTGAGCACTGGACTGTAGGTGTCGTGGAAGTCGATGCCCGGGCGTTGGGTGTAGCCCTTGGCAACGAGGCGGGCTTTAAGGCGATCAATGGTGCCATCGGGATTCCATTTGATACGAAATATCCAGCGGCAATCCACAATGTGCTGAGAGAGCGGGCGTGGAACTAGAGTCCAGGTGTAGTTGGAGAGGAGAGCTCGAAATTCGGCCCACATAGCGGCAGTCCATTGTGGATCTCGAAGTGCTTGCTTCACCGTAGTAGGCTCAAGAGGATGGGAGACCTGCGAAAGAAACAAACGTTTTGGACGGAAAATCCCATGTTGACTCCGAGTCGTGGGACGATGAGGAGCTTTGGCCGGTGGCGGTGGCGGCTGATTTCCATGTGAGGAGGAAGTAGCAGGGGGCGCAGCAGGTGAGGCGGCCGGACGGCAAGGCGACGTCGTGGAAGGCTGCGGTGGAGTCGTCGGTGGGCTGGGCGTAGAATGCGCGGGCAAGGGCAAGACTATTATTGAGGGAGTGGCAAAAGCAAGCCAGGACGGGGAATCATATGGAACAGGGGTGGAAATGGAAATGCCTGGGAGAAGGGATTCTTCAAACCGCACATGACGAGATACATAAATGCGGGTGGAGGTGGGTTCATAGCAGAGGTAGGCACTCTGCGAGGGTGAGTAGCCAAGAAAGAGACAGCGACGAGATCGTGGGGTGAGTTTATTTTCAGAATAGGGACGAAGCCATGGGTAGCATACACAACCAAAGACTCGGAGTTTGAGGTAATTAGGTTGTTCGTTGAACAGTGAAAAATAGGGAGTGTGGCCATGAAGGGCGGTGGAGGGAAGGCGGTTGATGAGATAGGTGGCGGTTTTGAAGGCGTGAGACCAAAACTGGAGAGGAAGATTGGCAGTGTGTAAGAGGGTGAGACCAGTTTCAACTATGTGCCTATGTTTGCGTTCGGCAAGGCCGTTGTGTTGGGGAGTATGAGGAGGAGTGAGAAGGTGGGTGATGCCGTGGGTTTGAAGAAAGGAGCAAAGTTTTTGAAACTCACCACCGCCATCGCTGTAAATGCGACGAATAGTAGTGTGAAAAAAATTCTCAATCATTGCTTTGTATGTGGTGAAAACAGTGTGAACATCAGATTTACGGGAAAGTGGATAAAGCCATGTATAACGTGTGAAATGGTCAACAATGACTAGATAATAAGAAAAATTATCATGAGAAATAACGGGAGATGGTCCCCAAACATCCATGTATAACAAATCAAATGGTCTGGTGCTCGAGAGGCTTGAAACAGCGAAAGGCAGTTTGTGGCTTTTATGAAGAGAACAAGATTCACACGATGAAGTAGATAAAGTGGAGGTGACAGGAAGAGATTGTTTACTAATAACACGAGACAGAAGCTTAAGATGGGGATGACCCAAACGATTGTGCCACAGCGTAGGTGATGCCCGTGTCGCAGTCAACGCCAGCCGAATGGGAGGAGTGTCCTGCGGCAGCTCATAAACATCGCCTTTATTCCGGCCTCGAAGTAGATGCGCCCCCGTGACTAGATCCTTCACAACAAAGAAATCAGAAAAGAATTCAACCGACACAGGGTTAGTTTTGCATAACTGAGCAACAGAGAGCAGGCGACGCTTGATAGCAGGAACACAAAGCACATTTTTAAGAGCTAGGCGTGACGTAGGAGAAGATAAGTGAGTGGAGCCAACATGAGAAATAACCAGACCTGTCCCGTCACCAATAATAACCTCATCGGGGCTATGATTTGTGGCCGCAGAATCCACCAACCAGCCATCATTAGAAGAGGCCACAGCAGTAGTGTGATGGGCTTGAGGACGACCGCGAATGCGGTAGCAATCCTTGGCAGAATGTCCCGGTTTGTCGCAGTATTGACAGAGAAGTTGGGGTCGGCCAAGGAGAGACGGTGCTGGCGGACTGGCAGAGTAGCCAGGATAAGGGCGAGGAGAGCGAGGACTCGGTGTCCTGCGATGGGAGTTATCATAGCCACGGCGAGACTGCCCAGGAGAATACGAGCGAGGAGATCGCCCCCTGGCCGAGGAGAAGGCTGTGGTAGGAGCAGCGGAGACACGGACAGCAGCTAGATCCGCCTCAAAATCAACAAGGCGATCATGTAAATCTTCAATCTGAATAGTGGTGTCCCGAGCACGGATGGCGGCAGCGAGCTGTCCAAATTCTTCACGCAGACCGCGAAGAATATGGAGAATTAGGTCTTCGTCACTAACCGGAGCGTTGACGAGGGCGAGCTCCGCAGCGGTAGTGCGCATAGCCTAAAGGTAGACGGCGACCGGACGGTTGCCTTGAGTCTCGCTAAGAAGTTTGCCCTTAAGATTGATGACACGTTGTCGTGATTGGCTGGCAAACATGCGCTCAAGAATAGTCCAGGCCTGACGAGCAGTGGCCGCAGCAGAGACATAAGGTGCGACACCTGGAGAAACAGAAGCGAGGATAGCATGAAGAATGAGTTGGTCCTGGCGGACCCATTGAGTGCGAACGGCAGCAGCAGCTGTGGCGTCAGGTTCAGGATGCGAGCCGTCGATGAATTTCAGCAGATCGAGGCCGCGGAGGAGAGTAACAAGCTGAGCACGCCATGTCGGAAAATTATCGCCGGAGAGCTTGGCAGGGAGTTGGGCAGCTGGGTTGAGCGTGACGATCGTATTGGTGTCGTCAAGGTTGATCACAGTTTCACCTGAACTAGTGTTGGCCGCCATGATTTGGAGAGAAGGTAACAGGGAAAAGGAAGATGAGGAAAAAGGAATTGTAGAGAGGGAATAGGTGGCGTATGCTGCTGGAGAGTTGGAGAGAGGAAGCAGATCAAGGAAGAAGAGAAGAAAAGGATTTGGACGAGATTTTGGGAGATTCTAGAGGTTAAGGAGATCAGAACCGATGCTCTGATACCATGTGAATATTGTGATGACTTGATTATTATTGAATGGGAGATTGGTATTTAATACCAATTCCAGAACAGAAACAAGCTACAAACTAGCTAACCACCTGACCACTACGTACATGACAAAAGCCACTAACAATCACTAACAATAATAATTAACAGAAATAATTAATTGGAAATGGTATCCTTAACACCCACGGCGTACTTGGTTGGGAGGAAAGAGAGGATGTGGGAGAGGATTTCGTCCGGTAGTGAGCTGATCCTATCGCTCATTGCGAGCTTAGACAGTCGGCACTGTTTCAGTAGTCTCCGTCGTCTCCTCGACGGCGGCGCGGATGTACTGAGGCGGCGGGAAAGTCAAGCTAGGGTTCCGATCCGAGCTAAAAAAAAGAGGTACTAATTAACGCCCTAATATTTTAAATTTATCGCCCTAACTTAAGTAAGTTGACATTTTTGCCCCAGAAAATTGCCAATCTGTAACCTAATTTCAAAAAACGCTGCCCAAACGTCGCCCTAACCTAATTTCGCTCTGCTTAGCAATCAGCCACTCCCGTCGCCGCCGTTCGCCCTGAGATTGCTGCTGCTACTTCCATTCTTCAAAGTCTGATGCAACCCTACAGGGTTTCTGGTTACCATTGAGTGAGACAGACGTAAAGTATCCTTCTCATTCCTAATAGTTAATAAGCTTCCCAAAGGATCAGAAGGATCACGATCCCAATGGTCAGTAAAGCTCAACCTATCTTTGTCCCTATCTCGTTCCTTGTCACGATGGTTTCTACTAAAACTACTGTATGCATGCTTCCCAGACCCATTACTGGAACTCCTTCGAAAATTTGATGAAGATGTTCGATCCAAAAAATGCCAGACGAGGGGAATCAAAATCACTTGTGCTCTTAGAATTCCGGCTCCTCGAATGATTTGAAGATGAAGATAAATCTATTTAACAAAAGAAACAACTTAAATGAGACAAACCATAACCAAGCAGCAGAGCAGCCACGCGAGAATCATCAGCCGCCGGTGAATTTCAAGAGCCGGATTTTCCTTTCTCCGGCGACCATAGCAAATTAAGTATTAGGGCGTGTGTTGGGGCGACCATTTTAGATGGTGGGGTAATAATATTGTCTGTTTGGTTAATTTAGGGCGAAAAAATTAAAAAGTTAGGACGTTAAATAGGAATCCAGAAAAAAAATCGCCGATTGCGAACCTTTTTCTCGGGGGAAAGTGAATCGATTTTCATCCCGGTAAAACTTAAATTAACTTCGCTATTTATCTCTAAGGGGCTGATTACATTTTTAGTACTTGGACTATATTATGTTCACAAAGAAGTCCCTATATTATGAATTTTAACAAAACAAGGATTATACCTTTCATGATCGGACTAAAATGGAATAGAAATTGAGTAATCAAAATCAAAGATGTTTCCAAGTGGTTAAGACCCTTATTGGTTCTAGGCTGTGAAGTGGGATCACACTTGGGATGTGCATATGTTAGTCAACGGAAAGACCCTCCGAAAAGGGTGTCTGGGACATTCTCCGATCCTTAAACTAGAAATGATAATGAGGAGAGAGAGAATGTAGAAAGAGAGAGGGAGTAGTTGTGTTCGAACAACTAGAGATAAACTGAAGCTAAATCTAGTGAGAGAAATAAATCATGCTACTTGAGAAAAGTTGTTTTAGGGTTTCTTTGGACGATTAGATCATGAGGGATACAAAGAGGAAATGTGAGACCAAGAATTAAGAGGGCAGAAAGTCCATCCTTTGTTGAATTTGCTTTTGTTTTGCGGGGAGGGGAGGGGTGGATTAGAATGGCAGCAAAGATGCCGAAAATGCAGAAAGTTCTATGTCCCACCAAAGCCCTTTACAATTCTCCAACATTCCATGACCTTACAAGACAGATCGAACATGATTAAAACTAGGATCTAATAATGCAAACTTAGCTCATAAGTCAAATACATATCATCAGAAAAACTCAGCTCATTATACAAAACTCAAATACGTCGAGAAAACAATGTATTGGTCCGAGGCTCCTTCCTGCGTGCTGTCTTTGGCAGTCTCTCAAGTCTCAATATCATCAGCATACTATCAAACTCTTACTCAATCCAAAGAGGGGCTACTCATTCAAAACATTACCTGACAAGTAATCCATATTCTCATAGGACTCCTGGGAGCCGTCTTTAATTCTACTGGTGCCATCGTCATCTTCATCATCCGCGTCGATCTCATCACCCATCTCGTCAAATTTGTTTTTCTCCATCATTTCCATCACAGATGATGTTGTCATTGTCATTGTCGGTCCTGCCATCATCAACATTTGTATCACCGTCTTCCATGCCATCAACAGCATCGTTACCATGGGTCTCGTCGTCGCTACAAACGTGGATCTCATCGCCAAAGGGAAGGAAAAGATGAGCTTCGCAACCTCTCGAGCTTCTTAGTAGCTTTACAAGTGACCCAAGACGATTGTGGATGGCTTTAAGATAATCACCGTACTCCTCGTAAACATCTGCATCATCATAAACTATGTGCACATGTGCCTTCTTCAGTGACACTCCAGCCTCGAGCAAACATGCGACCATTTCCATCTCGCCTTTATCTGCTATAAGATCTTCGATCTTAATTTCCTCTAGACTTGACAACAAACACTCAGGTGTGCAACCATGGTCGTTAAAATCCTCCCACTCCATTGTTCCCCTACCATCCTCCTGCTCCATGCACATATTCAGTATGGATAATGATATGTTACGGGAGTTAAAACCCAACTAAAGATATAAAGTGAAACTCACCAAGATTACGTTAAGAGATTGTAATTTGGGGACCGAGTTGAGCACGGAGTGTAGAATGCAGCTGCTTCCAGGGGATCCTATTTTCAAGCGTGTCAAACTGGGAAAGATAGGCAGCTGAACATCACCATTGTCATTTGACAAAAGACACTGAACACATCGAAAGACAAAAAAAAAAATATCATTAGCTCTCAGTCTCATCAACCATTCAAACTAGGCAAAAATGCTGATTACCAGCAAGCTCCACGATAAGCGCATTTCCTTTGCGTTAGAGATTTGGGCGAGGACCCTAGTCAAGCCCTCGTTCGAGATTTCGCTACGACCAAATTCAACCGTTGCTGAATGAAGGCATGGCAATGGGCGATTACTTTCAAGTAACTGCATCTCGGGGAAATCCTCAAGATAAAGCTGCTCAAGGCTTGGTGCCTCCATTGCAATGGAGCACAAAGGGAAATCATGGAAGCGAATGCCGATAATGCTCAATTTCTTCAAGCAAGGTAAGAAAGCAACGAGTTTGTCGTTCTCCACCCTGTTTGAGGAATCACAATCCTCCATATGAAGACTCTCTAGAACAGGGCAACCAGAGATGAGCTCGCTTAATGACGCCCAGTCCGTAGTCACTACTTTAGAAAGCTGCAAGATCTTAACACTTGGAAGAAACATAGAACCTTTTGTAGTAGTTTCTACTGTAATACCCGCAAGCTTCAAAATTTTGAGGTTCTTCAAACGGTAGAAGCTCTCTGGAAGCCAACACAGGTCCCTAATCCAGTAATCCACTTCAAGCTTAACGTCCATTTCCTTGAGCTGAGACTCATCCGGCGCCAATCCCATCTTCAACCACAAATTCGGCATCGCATTGCACTCATCGTCTGTCATTGCCAAATGGAAGCGGAAACGCCTCAGAGGTCGTTTGGATACAGGTTTCCTAAAACCTGGGTTTTTACTCACAATCTCTTGGTTTAAAAACCTAGGTTTTTAATAGGAGGAATTTTAATAAATCACTTGTTTGGATATGAACACAGAATTTTAATTTAAAAAATTAAATTACATTTTTATCCTTATCTTCTACCTATCTCATTCTTCTCCTCTCATCCGATAACCTCAGCTCTAACTATGAACATCAAGCCAAAAACCCACATTGGAATCAAATTTGGGAAGTTACATACCCAAATCCAGCACCAGGCGGAAGGAGATAGGGAGAAGAATCATTAACCAATTTGTGAACCCAAATCCAGGACCAGGCGGAAGAAGAATCGCGAAACAAATTGCATCGCCTAACAAATCAACAATCTCCCCACAACCATTCATCTCCTTCCTGCCGTCGGCAATCCAGATCAGTGATTTTCCCCTCCATTCATTCTATTCCTCCAGCCTCGAAAACCACCATTAATCATCTTCCTCCATCGACCTCCCTCACAATCTCCTCTCTCTTTGCCAAGAACAGCGGAGGAGATTGATAGATCTCGATCCGTGCGGTGGAGGGAACCATGATGGCAAGTGGCGACGGTGTTTCCTTCGCCCTGGAAGATCGACGGGAAGTCGGCCGGTTTGGAAGTGCTGGAGTAACGTGAAGGTTGACTGGTTTGGAGGGATTGGAAGGGATAGAGCCGCCGGAAGGTTGACGGGTTTGGTAGGGATTGCAGATCAGAGATGGAAGGACAAGTTTGGAACAAAGAAAAAAAAAATGAGGGATTTCAAAATAGCTTATCCCCATCAGCTATTTTAAAAACCTGCCTTTGAGGAATTTCGAAATTCTTAATACCCAAAATCTCTCATATATCCAAACGCATGATTGTTTTAAAATCCTGCATAATGAGGGATTGTTTTAAAATCCCTCATAAATCTCTCATTAAAAACCTTCATCCAAACGACCCCTCAGAGAATTGAGATTCTTGTGCTGGCTCAGAACCCTATCGAGGAAGCGGCAGAATTCCAAGAACCGGCTCTCTCGAAACTCCGTGCCTCCGTAACGATACTTGAAATCGAGGTCCAGATTGTAAACCCCGGTCCACAAATCCTTCCATCGTCGGCTTAGGACGGAGGTGGCCACGGCGTTCTTCGTTTGGAGTAAAGAGAGGATGTGGGAGAGGATTTCGTCTGGTAGGTAGCTGATCATATCTTCCGTTGCCGGCTCCGGCAACTTCCGATGGGCGGTCGTTGCGATTTCAGGAGCCTCCGTCGTCTCCATCGATGGCCGGAGAGAGGGAAGCGATGCTGGAAAGTGAAACTAGGGTTCCGAGTTCACCAAATTGCGTAGGAAGAGGCTAATTGATTTTTGGAGACTGTCCAATTTAACTATTTTTTTCTTGGGATGATTGTTGTAGTACTCAGACTATATTGTTTTAAGAAATTAGTCCTTACATTATCATTTTTTAACATATAAGTCTCTGGAAGATTGGAACCACATTATTACCTGTTGGGCCGCATAGTTGAGCGTATTTGGGCTTTGGGCCCAAGGGGAGCAAGACTGAGACAAGGCCCAATGAAGGACCCGGAAACGACCTGAAGACCGGGTCAGCAGGCGGTCCCTGACCGACTGCAAACCCCAGGATGAGTCAGGACGCCTGACATAAAGCTACTGGGCAACGCAGAGGAGCAGGGAGCCGTTGGAGATACGTATCTTACGTCAGGTAAGACTGAGCATTTATTGCCGGACACAGGCGGCCTGCAGAAAGGCTAAAAAGCCTGTCTGGGGCGCCCGACACGGGTCGAGGCGCCCGACACAACAATTCAATACCCTCAGAGTCCCATTATATGTCGGACAAGCTTAAAGGGCAGGTATAAATATAGAGTGTGTGCATTAATGGTAAACTCAACTACTATTCTTCTCTCTACATTAAATCTCTCTACTATCATTCTCTCTCTAACTTAGGCTTCGGAGAGTGTCCCGGGCGACCGCCCCGGACCCTTGTTTTGCAGAGTATCTGGAGCGCCCCCCTCGGTCCAAGGACAGACGCCTCACTCCAGCTTCACAAACCGCCTAGTATCCACTAGGCACAAACAATTTGGCGCCCACCGTGGGGCAGAGGGCGGCGCCGACTCGCTGGAGAGACCTCGGTTCTGGCTATCAGAGGGGGTAGTCGCCTGTGACACCATTACTAGAAGATGCCTCCTCTTCTTCTTGTCTCGTTTCAACTTTCTCCTCAGCGAAGAAAGAAATCGATAGCGCTCCGCCGAAAGAGAGAGACGAGTCTCCAAATACCGAGAGAGAGAAAACCGGGAACAACGAGCAATTTTGAATAAGAGGTAGAGCAGACGAAAATGAGAAAGGATTCCCCCACAGTCACACTAAGGATATATATAGTGACGGGGGGGAGGCTGATGTGACGGTTGAGTGCCCGAAATGTGGTCATTGGCCACGAAATTCAAAAACGGGCACGCGAAAGGATGTTTCGCCTGCCCGGTGTCAGAGCACAGAAACCGATCCACGGCCACGTGTGCAAAGCGTCTCCGCCAAGAAACCCGCGAAGCGGCTGAAGTACTGCTTAGGCGGGACAACCCTAAGCCTTCGACGACCAGGGGCAAGGTGAGATAAGGAGAGGCGTGAAACGCTCAACTAGCTGAATGCATTATAGGTAGCCGCCAAAGCCCTAGGCTTTCCCGCCTAAGGGGCAATTGTTGGGCCGCATAGTTGAGCGTATTTGGGCTTTGGGCCCAAGGGGAGCAAGACTGAGACAAGGCCCAATGAAGGACCCGGAAACGACCTGAAGACCGGGTCAGCAGGCGGTCCCTGACCGACTGCAAACCCGAGGATGAGTCAGGACGCCTGACATAAAGCTACTGGGCAACGCAGAGGAGCAGGGAGCCTGACATAAAGCTACAGGCGGCCTGCAGAAAGGCTAAAAAGCCTGTCTGGGGCGCCCGACACGGGTCGAGGCGCCCGACACAGCATTTAATGCCTCAACCACCCTTAGAACAGGTATAAATATAGAGTGTGTGCATTAATGGTAAACTCAACTACTATTCTTCTCTCTACATTAAATCTCTCTACTATCATTCTCTCTCTAACTTAGGCTTCGGAGAGTGTCCCGGGCGACCGCCCCGGACCCTTGTTTTGCAGAGTATCTGGAGCGCCCCCCTCGGTCCAAGGACAGACGCCTCACTCCAGCTTCACAAACCGCCTAGTATCCACTAGGCACAAACATTACCTGCAGTAACCAAAACGTGACTGACATCAATCATATGAGCGCCATCCTTTACGGCCTCATCAATCATATTATTGTTTTCCGGAGAGGAAAATCTGGTGTTTGAACTCAATAAATGCACCTTTGACTTTTTGAACAACGATTCTAAATACGGTTCATTCTTCTCCGAACAATGTTCGAACGAGGGTGTTTGATGTTTTGATGGTTTTTTTGGGAACAAGCTACATTACTCTACTCCTATGGAGGTTCAGTGAGAGCTCCGAAAAATAAAAGCTGATTTGCAGGGAAAAGATAAAGTTTGACATTGTGCGTCAAATGTTTGGTTGTGGAACCCTTGCTTCGTCTTCGTTTCTCCTATTTATAGCCATCCCTTGTAACCGTCGTGCAACCGTCTCTTGGTAACCGCTGCTCCACTGCTTGGTATTTGATGTAGCTTGCTTTGTGTGCTTGCCACTTGATAACTAACCCTTGTGCCATGAAGCTGTCTTGTTTGATGAGTGAAGGCTTCACGCTTGGTGGTACTCGTGCTAACCCCCTGGACATGACGTCATGCTCGACACCAGGGTGATTGGGGGTTTGATGGATGCACACTGACCCCCTTGGGGTGGCATCATGCTTGTAGGGTCTTGACAAGGTGGTCTACCATGTGATGATATACATGGCTGACACCCTAGTGTTTGGTATCAGTGTTTGACCCCCTTGTGGTTGGATCTCCATACTTAGCCAAATTTTGGCTTTCTTCACCGCCATGGTTTAGGGACTCCCTCCCTTGCCAACATGCTTGATACCCGGTACGCGGCTAGACCCCCCTTGCGTTTCTCCATACTCGACTCACCTTGGATGGTATCACGCTTGACCCCCTTGGTGCAAGGTAGGTAGATGGCGTAGTGCTTGACCCCCTTGGGATGATGTCTATGCATGACCCCCCTTGTGCTTGACCCCCTTGGACGGAGTCATGCATGACCCCCCTTGCGTGATGTCATGCTTGACCCCCCTTAGACGAGACCCCCTTGGGATGGCATAGTGCTTGACACCCTAGGATGATGTCATGCTTGACCCCCCTTGGACGAAGTCATGCATGACCCCTCTTGTGATGTGGGTATCAACACTTAGCCAATTTTTGGCCTTCTTTCCCATCACGATCTTAGTGACTTGCGTTGCCCTGCTCCATACTTAGCCAATTTTCACCTCGGTATCATGCTTGACAACCTTGGACGAGACCCCCTTGGGATGCTGTCATGCTTGACCCCCCTTGGGCTATGGGTCTCAACACTTAGCAAAATTTTGGCTCTCTTTGTCACCATAGTTAGCTCGCGTCTCGTCATACTCAACTCACATTGGATGGTATCATGCTTGAACCCCTTGTGCTTGACCCCCTTGGACGATGTCATGCATGACCCCCCTTGCGGTGGCATGCATGACCCCCTTGTGCTGTGGGTCTCAACACTTAGCCAATATTTTGGCTCTCTTTGTCACCACACGGCGAAAGGGTACTCGCGATGGCTCCCTTGGTGGCTGTGTCTCCACGACTTGGGTGGTTGATGTTGAAGGGTGTCAACACGCTTGACATTTGACCCCCCTTGCGTGATGGGTGAGTGCTTGATGGGTCAAGTGATGTGTTGAGGTACCTGGTATGAAGCCCAAAATATCATTATTTAGGCCCAACCTAAACCAATTTAATTAACATAGTTAAGTTGGCCTTATAAATCACTACCACCTCTTGAAAATAATCAATGTGGTACTGAGTGATTTTTTTAGTGGTAAACAATTATTATCGTTTTTTAACATACAAGTCTATGGAACCACGTTGAACTTGTACATAGCAATTGGTATAAGGGTCGTTTGGATGGATCAATTGTAAAACGAAACAATTTGACTAATTGTTTCATTTTACAAAACGAGTCATTTAAAATGAGTCAATTCAGATTACCTGCCCCATCCCAGACAATTGTAATTGGCTCAAAATGAGTCAATTCAGAATTCCCAAGCCCAAATTGCTTCATCCAAATTTTTTGCTGCCAAACGGATTAATCTGGCACAATTAGCTCGAAACGAGACAATTGTGTTTGTTACTTAAAAGAATTCATTTTCAATTCAACATTTTGAATTCTACGGAATTGGAACTAATTATAAATGAATTTTCCAAATGAATTCCACCAGTATTTACTAATTATAATAGAATGACATAATTACCCTCATCATTAACTAAATAATCTATACATATATTATTGACGCTAATTCATGTCGTATGAGGAACATCGACAATAATTTGATTGCAACACAAGTAGCATATGCTGGTTATTTGATATTTCTGTTTCGATTATATCAGTACGTTGAGAAGTCACAATTAGGTGTAGGGTTCATTGAAGAAATATTAGAAAAAAATCTAATGAATAGATTAGAACCACACAAGAACACTTTTGATAATCTATGTATGGGACCAATGGTATTTTTTAGAAGATGGATATTCAATGAATATTGTTTCTGCCGAAAACTAATAAGGTTGTGGTTGGAAAATTTTAGTTTAATTCAATTCTCGAGTTTTTTCCAGAAATAGAACCTTTAAAAAAAACTACAAAACTAGCACCCTTCCAAAAATATTTACAAAACTAGCACCCTTTTTTATTGACCGCACCCTTGTGGTGCGTTTTAAAAATAAACCGCATCCTCCAGGTGCGTTTTATATGTAAACCGCACCTGGAGGGTGCGTTCCATTCTGGTGGGCCTAAAACGCACTTTGGCCATGCGTTTTCAGGTCTGGCCTACATAAAACGCAAGGCCGAGGTGCGGTTTAGGCCTGCCCTACACAAACCGCACCTTAGTGATGCGTTTTATTCCTCCAAGAACAAACCGCATCGCTAAGGTGCGGTTTGGCCATGTAGAACGCACCCCCCAAGTGCGGTCTACATGTCAATAATTTTCCGACACCCGACACAGCCATGCAGAGAATTATGGACGTAGGGCTGCATGGCAGACTAAAACCGCACCCTAGAGGTGCGGTTTTCATCATTTTTTCCCCTATATAACACTTGCCGGAAAACCTCTACCCTTCACACCTCTCATTCTCTCTTTCATTTTTCTGTTGTATGTCTATATTTATTTTGTGTTACTTTTTATGCCATTAACATTAACTCGTAAGTTTATTTTGTGTTACTTTTCATTGTTATTTGTGATTTGTGATTTTTATGAGATTAACTGAACTACGGTTTTTTTGTGTGCAGATGGCATTCCGTCAGTTCACGCTTGGCTTACGGTGGAATGGTTACACGGAAGAGACCGGAAAGGGGGCCACCTACGTCGGTGGCAATTTTCAGAAATTAACGGTCGGTACCAGACCGAAGCTTGAAGACCTCCATCAAATATGCACTGACGTTACTTGCATGGATGGCACGAGAAGAGTAGATCGTATGGTGTACCGATATCCAAACAGAGAAAGTGGGTCATTGTGGCATGAGGAATATACCATAACCACTCAAGATGACGTCGATTCCATGCTCGAATTCTTGAGGACCAACAAATTGGCCAAAACCGAGATGTTCGTTTACACCGAGCCAGCCGTTGGTGTTGGAGGTCATTATGGACACGGTCAAACATCTGGTATCCATGGTGGAGGTGAATTATATGGCGATCATCCCTACCAAAGTTACCATGATCTTCATTCCTATTTTCAGTACCAAGATGGAGGGCAAGGTGCAGGCCATCATCAATCTTTCTCGTCATATGAAGAAGAAGTTCAACCGGACGTCCCCAACCAAGCCAAGTACAACTTCCAATCAGGCAGCGGTAGTTTTCACAACTACCATTATGGAGCTGATGAAGGTGCCTTTCATGAGCTGGATCAGATGGAGGCTGCCACACCAGCACCAGTCAGCGACCCCTCTGATGAAGAAGGAGAGAACAACGTCAGTGCAGACAGCTCAGACCCTCTTGAAGGTGCTGATGATTCAGCACCAGATTCAAATTCAGATAATGATCATGATGTGGCTCCTGACCGTGTACCAGTCCCCTACTACACTCACATTCCAGACGACAATTGGATGGTCGACAGCGACATGGAGCCGCCAGAGGTCCCAATATGGGGCCCACTCACTAGGTTTACGAAGGGCCAACAATTTGGCTCGAAGAAGGAGGTGCGGCACACCCTTGAGACTGAAGCAATGACTCGGCATTTTGAATGGCACACAACTCATTCCAACACCAAAAGGCTCATAGTCAGATGCCGTAATCATCACGAGGGGTGCAATGTTAGGATTCGGGCCATCAACAGCAAGAGACACGGCAACTGGGTCATATCCCGTGCGGTCAACACACACACATGTGTGTCATCCATAACTTCCCAAGGCCATCGACAGTTGAAATCCAGGGTGGTAGCTGCGGCTGTCAAGCATCTGATTGAGGCTGAACCGGATCTGAAGGTGAAAGTCATAATCGCTGACATTGCAAGTCGTTATGGTTATATGATTAACTATAAGAAGGCGTGGCATGGAAAGCAGAAAGCTCTGGCCGCCGTCTTTGGTGATTGGGAAGAATCATATGCATTCCTTCCCAGGTTAATACTGGCATTGGAGGCGTCTAACCCTGGGACTGTGTTCTCCCCTCGATACCAAGATGAAGAGATACAACCCCCAGAGGCAGGTAACGAACGACCATAACTTTGTGCTCCACAATCCGAAAATCATGATTTTTTTTTTATTTCGCATAACTTTTTAAGGACTACAATATTTAGTAGGAGAGAATTTTCAAAAAATGAATTATTTATGGATATAAGGGGTTTTGGGAATAACTTTACCTTCCTTTTCAGGAATCCAAGTACATTCCGAAAATATGTCTATGATAAAAATTGTATTCCTTAAAAAGTTATGTGAAATCAAAAAAAAATTCATGATTTTCGGATTGTGGAGCACAAAGTTATGGTCGTTCAAAGTTTGACGAAATCGAAAAAAGGCTCGTTCGGGGTAGCAAACGACATATTTTCGAGACGAAGGCGGGACCAAACCGCCTACGACAATTTGCGGCTTGCAAGATCTTGAAAAATTATGCGAAATCAAAAAAAAATTCGCTACGATCGGATAACCGAGCACAAAGTTACGTTTGTTTAAAGTTTCGACGCAGGTTAGGCCTTCACCGCGGCCGTGTACTGCAGTGATGCAATCACTGTCTTTGTCGACAGCAGTGATGCAATCACTATCTTCGTCGACATCGGTAATGGCCCAAACATGCGTAGATTGAGAATTATTTTCATAACGTGTGTATTTTGAGAATTTTTTTTTAAAACGTGTGTAACTTGGGATTTTTTCCCAAACACTCGGCCGTGCAAGCAGGTTCTTCGGCGCAGCCCACACGATTACACTGATCTCCTTCTCCTGTTCCAAGCACACATTAATTATGGATAGTAATAGGGAGAGGGGGTTTCATTCAACTAAACTGAGATAAAATGGGACTCACTAAGACAATGAAAAGAGACTGTAATCTGGAAAGCGAGCAAAGCAAGGAGTGCAGAATAGAGCAGCTTCTGGGGGTTCCAATCGTCACCTGTGTCAAGTTGGGAAAGACAGGCAGCTGAACTTCATCACTGACATTTGATAAAATACACTGAAAACATATAAAACATATCATTAGCTCTCAGTCTCATCAACCAATCAAATTGGGCAAAATACAGGACCTAAGCAACAATGCTGATTACCAGAATCTTGCACGATAAGCGCATTTCCTTTACATTAGAGATTTGCGCGGGAGCCTAATCAACCCGTGCTTCGAGATTTGGCCACTGTCGATTTCAATCTGTGCTGAATGAAGGCATGGCAATGGAAGACTACTAACCAAAAACTGCAAGTCGCCGAAATGCATAAGATAAAGCTGCTCAAGACTTGATGCCTCTATGGTCAAGTTCTTCAAGAACGGCAAGGAAGCAATGAGTTGATAGTTCTCATTTCCTGTTTGAGGAGTAGCAAGTCTCCACATGTAGAGTCTCTAGAACAGGGCAACCAGAGATTAGATTGCTAAAGTGACGCTCAGTCGTTAGTCTCTGCGCTCAAAAGTTGCAAGATCTTGACACTAGGAAGAAAAACAGACCCTTCTGCGGTAATCTCTATTGTAACACCCTGAAGCTTCAAAACTTTTAGATGCTTCAGATTGTAGACGCTCTCTGGAAGGCAGCGCATGCGAAAGGGATCTACCATGAAACCATACCCCTTAAGTTCCCCATCCATTTCCTCAAGCCGAGACTCATCCGGAGCCAATACCATCTTCAACCAGAAATTCGGCTCTGCCCTGCGGTCATAGTATTCCATTGTAAAATGGAAGCGAAAACGCCGCAGAGAATTGAGATGAGATCCTTGTGCTGGCTCAAAACCCTGTAGACGAAGCGGCAGAATTCCAGGTCTAGCCTCTTTACAATCTCATAACGATAGGCTGTGTTCTCCAAGCCGCTGTTGCGATTGTCGAGATCGAGCTCGTAGAGGCTAGTCCACAGATTCTTCCACCGTCGGCTTAGGCCAGAGGTACCAACGGTGTACTTGGTTGGGAGGAAAGAGAGGATGTGGGAGAGGATTTCGTCCGGCAGTGAGCTGATCCTATCGCTCATTGCTAGCTTCGACAGTCTGCGCTGTTTCAGTAGTCTCCGTCGTCTCCTCGACGGCGGCGCGGAGGTAATTGAGGAGGGAAAGTGAAGCTAGGGGATCGCGACCTTTTTTTGGGTAATAAATTGCGACCTTTTTTCTGTAATGGGGAAGAAGTTATTTGATTTTCTTTTTGCAAGGGAAGGATTAGCATTCTAGTACTTGTACAATATGATGCTGACAAAGGGGTACCTATATTATGAATTTTAGCAAAACAAGTATTATAACCTTTATGATCGGATTAAAAGCCTAATATGAAACAGAAACTATGAACATCGAAACAACTAAATTTTAATGCAAAAAAAGTAATTAGGACCGGTTGCATAACAACTTAATATCGACCAAACACTACCGAGCTTCAAACTTTTTAGACACGTCAAACTGTAGAACGTCTCTGTTAAGGCGACAAATGCGGAAGGTGTATCCACATCAATTGCACCCCTTGAGTTTAACATCAACCTCCTCCAGCAGAGACTCAATGACTCATCACATGCCATTTCCATCTCTAACAAGAAATCTGGCCTTACATTGTAGTCGACGAAGCCGCTTCATTGACTCATAATTACAACACCAGAATATTCTAACAAGTAATCCTTGTTCTCATAGTACTATCTAAAACCACACTAATGTGAAGTCTCTTGTATTGCAAACTGACAGTTTATTCCATAGAAAACAGACTCGACTAAGTACATGATTCCAAGCCGTAAGATCAGGCTTCCCACTAACCAGACTACCCTTGAAATCAGCTAACTAACTACCACTATCAACCTGACTAGCTGCTCACACGATCTGCAGCTTAACACTCAAACAAGGACTCAACTGACTCTTAACATAACTAAAGGACTAAACATAAACTTATCCAAACGACACAGCATCAGCAACCCACAATTCAAACTCCAAACACGCGCCAATTCTTCCTTCCTCTTCTGTCTTGCAGCCACCAAGGGTTGAGCTTCCAGTTCACCTTCTAACAACTTAATGTTCATCGGCTCCCCTCCCTCGATCCGTCTCCATCATCATCATCTGCGTCTATCTCATCGCCCATCTCTTCAACCTCGCTTTTCATCATTTGTCATCACCGACGACGTTGCCATTGTCATTGTCTGCCCCGTCATTATTTGTATCGTCGTCATCCATGCCATCAACATCATCGTTGCCATCGGTCTGGTCGTCGCTATCAACGTGGATCTCATCGCCATCCGGAAGGAAAAGATGAATTTCATAAGCTCTCGAGCTTCTTACTAGTTTTACCAGTGACCCCAGACGATTGTGGATGTCGTTCATATAATGGCGATACTCATCGTAAAGAGAGGAATCGTCGTACATTATGTGCAGATTTGCCTTCTTCAGCGCGACTCCAGCCTCGAGCAAACACGCGCCCATTTCCAACTCGGCGTTATCTGCTACGAGATAATTGATCTCGATTTCCTCGAGGCTTGACAACAAACACTCGGGCGTGCAAGCAGGTTCCTCGGAACCCCACCAGTCCAACATTCCCCAACCATCATCCTGCTCCACGACACATATTCAGTATGGAAATTATGGATCGTGACATTCTGGAACTCAACTAGTGAAGATGAACTCGAAACTCACCAAGTTAATGACGAGAGATTGTAATTTGGGGACCGAGTTGAGCAAGTAGTACAGAGTGCTTCTGCTTGCAGGGGATCCAATTGTCAAGTGTGTCACATTGGGAAACATAGGCAGCCGAGCAACAGCATCGTCATTGGGAATTATAGGCAGCCGAGCACCATTTGACAAAAGATTCTGAACAACATCATCATTTAGCTCTCAGTTTCATCATCAACCATTCAAATTAGAGGCAACAAAAATAAGAGGTGCCCAAAAAAGGAGCAAATGCTGATTAGTGATTACCAGTGTTCTCCACGACAAGCACAGCACCTTTGCGTTAGAGATTTGGGCGAGGAGCCTAGTCAAGCCACGGTTCGAGATCCCGCTTTCACCCTGTTCAAGCATTGCTGAATGTAGGCATTGCAATGGACGACTGCCGTCCTGTGACAGCTGCAGCTCGGGGTATTCGTCAAGATAAAGATGCTCAAGACTAGGTGCATCTATTACAATGCAGTGATCATGATAGAAGATATCGCCGATAATGGTCAATTTCTTCAAGCAAGGTAAGAAAGCATTGAGTGTGTCGTTCTCCTCTTTGTTTGAGTGTCTGCAACTCTCGATTTGAAGAGTCTCCAGAACAGGGCAACCAGAGATGAGCTTGCTTAATGACGCACAGGATTTAATCACTGCATACAGGAGCAGCAATTTCCTAACACTTGGAAGAAAAATGGAACCTATTCTAGTCTCTAGAGAAACACCAGCAAGCTTCAAAATTTTTAGATTCTTCAAGCGGTAGAAGCTCTCTGGAAGACAACGCAGGGAAAAGGGATCATCATTCCACTCATCCCCTCGAAGTTCAACATCCATTACCTCGAGCTGAGACTCGTCCGGCGAGAATCCCATCTGCAACCAGAAATTCGGCCTCACCTTGCACCCGACGTCTTTCATTGCGAAATGGAAGTGGAAACGCCTTACCGAATTGAGATTCTTGTGCCGGCTCAGAACCGTGTCGACGAAGCGGCAGAATTCCAGGTACCGCCTCTCTCGAATCTCCTGAGCATTGGCTACGATCTCCGATTCTCCGAAACGGTTATTGAAATCGAGATGGAGATTGTAGACTCCAGTCCACACATCTTTCCACCGTCGGCTTAGGACGGAGGTGGCCACGGCGTGCTTCGTTGGGAGTAAAAAGAGGATGTGGGCGAGGATTTCGTCTGGCAGGTAGCTGATCCTATCTTCCGTTGCCGGCGTCGGACTTTTCCGTTGGGCAGTCGTCGGGATTTTAGGAGCCTCCGCCGTCTCCATCGGTGGCCGGGCGGAGGAACCGAGGCGGAAAAGTGAAGCTAGGGTTCCAAGTTCACGAAATTGCAAACAATTTTTTTTTTTTTTGTGGATGAGGAAGAGGTTAATTGATTTTTGGAGCACTCCAATCTTTTTTTTTGTTTGTGAAAAGACCGGCGGGCGGTCTAACTCATATTAATAACAAAAATGCAATCCAGTAACGCTCATAACATTCAATTGAAATCATTATCTAACGCTCGTCTCGTTTACAACTGATGAACGCGTGTCAGAAGGAAGTCTCGCTCACAATTGATGAACGCGTGTCAGAAAGAAGACTATCTCTACTAGTCAAGAAAGCCGCTACCAACCTACCACATCCTTTTCCATATAAACATTTAGGGTACTCGTAGTTCTCACTCTAAGCTCGTCGGAGAAGGTGTTGATGGTGTTCAAGGTTTCGAGATAGTATAATAATCTAGCAAACATCAAGAAGTTAATCTAACTAGAAAAGCAATAGCTCAAACTTGAGAAGCATTCTGGTCCAGTTTCGAGCGTCTTCTTTGCCCACTGAGTCACTGACCTTTAGGAAACACCCTAAAAAGTACGTCCAACCAATGCTCTCCGATTCTATCACGCTATCTGAGTCTAGCTAAGTCGAGGTTGAGTTCAACTTTGTTGGAACCTTTCCCATCAAACTACCCGGAGACTTTTCGCTGCAACTTTCAATTCTGCTATTGTAATTGAACATGTTCTCAGGTATTGTCCATAATGGTTCAACTTAAGCACCAGGAGGGCATTGTAACAACAACAGTAAACTAACAACTAAGGGACAAAGCACATCAACCCAAAATTACAAATGTGTAGTACAATGGTGGTGAACCATAATCCAAAGGGCTTACAGTCGCCATAGATTAGCCATACGGTTCCTTTGAAGTTAAGATAAGTCTCACATGTCGAAGTAGCGATTCCCGTGGCTTCCTTTTACCATACGATACCACATCCCAAACCCCATGGGCTGCCAGAATCACAAACTCGTGTCTTCTCGACGCGCTCAGTTGAGACACTTCCTGGAATTGATATGACCGCAAATTCCTCGACACAGTAGTCCCCGAATGCTTGAGATAAAGCTAGCACTGACGTCTAAGCCCGAATTCCTCGACAGAGTAGTCCCTGAGTGCTCGAGATAAAGCTAGCCCTGACATCTTCCCGCTTAGTTTCCATACTCCATAGAATCCTGGATCTTCCTGCAACCAGCATAAGACTTCTTCAAACTAAGGAGAATCTGATAAGGGGGGAAAACACATTAACCTGAAGAACTTAAGGAGAGAGAATAGAAGGTGGGCTGACAGAATGCCACCTCCCGAAGTTGTTGCTAACACTGCTGTTGAAACACCAAAATGGTTACCCTGCAGTCCTTAAAGAAAGGGCAATACGTTAGTAGTGTTGATATATTCGTTTATTTCAAAGACTCAAGACTTCCATTGCGAGATTGGATATTGTATCGATGATCTCAAAACACCGATCAAGTAACAAGTTCATCCACGAGGTGTTCCTCCACGGACACCGACCATATCTTGTGCTAAGACTCTGGACCCTTTTGATCATATCAAGAATGAGTTCATGTTATACAATACCAATCCGTTGCTCAATACTTTCTATTCTTGAGTCGTATTCCATGTAGAAAATCAATTCACATACATTTGACTCATGTACCACTCTGCCAAAACCCAATCATAAGTGTTTCATTTACCTGTTTGACATGGTGAGCTGCAGAGAGTGTCAATCTTGGGATGCTGCTGCTTCAGCTGTTGAACAATGGCAGCAAAAGTCTTGATATACGACTCCTATTCCATCTCCATGTCGAGAGATGCCTCCCAAATCACTTACCAGTTGCAGAGCAAAGATGGCATTGGCAGGCCAATTCTCTAACCATTTTCACCACAACATGTCCCCATGGACCAGCCCATGAAATACCCCACGCCGATGATCGTGTAGAGGTGTGAGAACCACGCTTCTAGGGATTCTCGATACTGATCTTCGGCACTCGTGATAATTAGGGATTTAGGGTTTGATAGAAAGAATTAGGGATTTAGATGAGAAAGAATCGAATTGGGAATCGGCCGAGGCCTTGGACTAGGATGAGATGAGAAATTAGGAGTTGAGAGGAGAGATTAGGGTTTAGGAGACTTTGCTTAATATTCTTCTTGATTGATTATGACGTAAACCCAAAGTACATATATATAGGAAATACTGGAAAACCCTAACGAATAACCTAATTGGACTAAATCTCTACTAACCATAATTAGGGCTGGGAAAACGGTTGGCGGTTTGCGGTTAAACCGACAACCGCACCGAAACCGCGCGGTTATTGGTTAACCGCAAACCGCATATTTGGCCTATTTTGCGGTTTGCGGTTTAACCGCAACCGAAACCGCAAATCCATATAACCGCAAAGCTAACCGCGAAACCAGACCCAACCCATAATTCACCCCCAGCCCAGCCCATAATTCACCCCAGCCCAGCCAGCACACAGAGGCCCAAAACCCCCAAACCCGACCCGGCCCCTCTCCCTGCCGTCGTTTTGACTTTTGAGTTTTGATTTGAAGAAACAAAAATAAAAAATCCCTCCCCCACAGCCCCACTTCATTTCGTTTCGTGACTTTCGTCCCTTCCCAGTTCCCACCAGAAAAACCAAAACCCTTCGACTCTTTCATCTTCCCGCTGGCCGCTGCGCCCCTGCCATCCCCTCGCCGGCGTCCCTGGCCGTCCGGCGTTCCCCTGCGACGGTGTTCCTCTGCCGCTGCCCTGCCGTCGTGCCGTGACCTGCCCCACTGCCATGCCCTGCCGTGCAGGAAAAGCTAATCTTCAAGTGCTGCCTTGCCCCGCTGCCGTGCCGTCGGCGACTCCGTCTTTCTGATTCTGATTTCCTTGTCTCCCCTGCTTTCCTGGAAAGGGATCCAATCTCATTTTGATTTCCACCTCCGTTTTCTCACTCTACTTTCCTGGTGCGGTTTTCACAACCATAAACCGCGGTTCACCGCTAACCGCGTTCTGCGGTTTTTGGTTAACCGCTAACCGTTGCGGTCGCGGTCGCGGTCGCGGTTGGCCAATATGGGTGTTTTGCGGTTGCAGTTAACCGCAAATTGCGGTGCAGTTAACCGCAACCGCACCGTTTCCCACCCCTAACCATAATTATCATTATCCTACCTAATATAATAATAAAAACCATATATAATTGTGTTTCTGACAATCCATCCCCCTTGAGAACAACCTTGACCTCAAGGTTGTAGTTGACTTCTACCTCCTTGGCCTTCCGCTTTCTTCGTTTCCAATTGCGCTCAATCCCTTGAATTAACTCATCTCGCGCAACTCCCACTTTCCGTGTCTCTTGTCCACCCGCGTGACACATATCACGTTTGCCATAGCTTAACAGTTCTTCGTCCTCTCTTTCGAAGTCCACGAAATAGGAATCAGATACCTCTTCTCCTCCTCCACTCCTGGATCGGCCTACCATGACTTGAAAGGATGAGGTGTTCTTCTTCTTAACTTCTTTTGGGTTTGACTCCTTTGCAAGCCCGTGTGTCAACACAAGAACTCCCTCCAAGTCTTCTTTCCTTTTATAACATCCCATGTTCGATTTAAGTTCTGCATGATCTGGCCCAATTATGTATAAAAGAGCCCTTGTAAGGTTGTCCTTGAGCGGCCCAAAGACTGGGTAGAGAGAAGCCCAACTGCACTCCACCTTAGGCCCGTCCTGCTGATTGGTTTTCGGCCCAAGATGCTGGTCAGGTTGGTCTATGTCGGACCCAGCAAACTTCTCCTTCTCATTCTCCAGCTCACGTCCCCGACCAATGGGCCCACCTCTCTTCCTCGGCCCAACAAAGCACCTAGCATTTCGGGTTAGCGAGAACCCAGCATGCCCCAAGCTTCGACGGTTTAGGGTTGCAGGGAAAGGAAACCCGCCACCCTCCACCTTCTCCTCCTTTGTAGGCGGTTTCTCCTCCTCGTTGGCCACCACAGGGGTCGCCGCCACCCTCACGTCCGGAGCCTCCATCGCCTCCAATTTCTCTGGCTTTGTCTTCTTCCGCTCGTTCTCCGATGGTGCGCCATTCCGCCGACGGCACGACGGCCCTTCCGGCCCCGCCGCCATCTTTTCCTTCGGCGGCAGCTGCTTCGCCTCGTTCTCCGGCGGTTTCTTCTTCTTCTCCGACTGTGGCTCGAGTTCGCGCCCTCTTGCCCGCCTTGTCCTCCGGCGTCGAGTGACCCACCTGGCATGAGGAAGGCGATCTCGAAGCTTCGACTTCCATCTTCTTCTTCCGCGTCGTTCTCGACTCTGACGATTCCTTCTTCTTCTCGACCAGTGGCGACTCCCTCGCCTTCTTCTCCGTCGGCGCCTTGACTGCAGTTCCAGCAGATCGCATCGGCTGTGCCGCCAACGCAGAATCCCATCGAATCTGCTCCGTCTCCACTTCGGGTCGGCGATCAACATTGGCGCTAGTCTCCATCTTCATGTCGGATGCCGTCAAGGGTGGGGCCGGCGGCTGGACTCGTGATTTCGACTGGTCCCGCAGTTTGCGCGTCCCCGGTCCTGCTTCTTCTCGTCCGTTGGCGTCGAGGGCCATGGTCGATGATGATTGTTCCTCTGGCGGTTTCCTCGGCGGTGGAAGGACGGGATTTAGGAAATCCTTTGCCGCATCGGAACTCACTCCCGGTTCTTCTTCCTTACCTGTCGCATCCGAATCCACCTGCTTTGGAGAAGTGGCAGCACCGTCTGGCGGTGGGATCACTGCTTCTTTCCTCGCATCCTTTGGCGGTGGCGCATTCCCCAGGCGAAAGGAAGGCAGGCCCGATCCAGCGACCTTCCTCTCGTTCTCCGTCCCGATCTCGCAAGCAGCCTCGTCACCAGCAACCAACACCGCTTCCTTGTTGCGATCTCCCGATGTCTCGTCCCCCACCATCTGCATCTTCATCTCCGCCTCAAATTCCGATGGTGGCTCGACCTCCATCGGCTTCCTCTTCTTCAA